AGAAACCCAGCGCCCGTGGCAGTCGCTCCCCAGTCCTCCCTCCCCCGCCCCGGCACCCACGAATCTGCTTCCTGTCTCTGTGGATTTTCCTGTTCTGGACATTCTGTATGAGTGGGCTCATGTGACATGCGGCCTTTGGGGTCTGGCTCCTTTGACTTGGCCTAACGTGTTCAAACTCGTCCATTTTACAGGTGGGGCAACTGAGGCTTGGAAAGTCAAGGCCGCCTGTCCTATGAGCTGCAGAGCTGGGGTTGAAGTCCATTGTCCGTTTCTTTCCACTTCACACGCCACTCGGAGGAGCGGCCAGGGGGTGGGAGCCAGTATGCCGACCCGGGGGCAGGGATGGACCCTCTGTTCTCCTCTACCCTCGCTGCTGCTGGAGACTGGGACCCAGTGAGGGGGCACAGGAGCTCCAAGTGCTCTCTGACCAGCCCCCCACCACCTGCCACAGCCTGTGTTCAGTGGCCGCAGCATCCTGCCCGACAAGGGCCTCAGAACCAGGACATATGCTGGGGGCAGAACTGCTTTACTGGACCATTTATCACTCCCGAGCTGGCAGCAGGAGGGATAGTCGGTCACTTATTGTTTATCGCCTGTATACTTCCTAAAGTGCTGTGGTGCAGGCCGGGGAGGCTGGGGCTGTGATGGGACCATTTGAGGAAGGTCCTAGAATAATAACACAGCGTGGCACAGTTCAGACCGTGCTGTAAAAGGAGGCAGTGTATGAACTGGCTTTGGAGTCCGACTATTGGTTGTGAACACAGGCTCTGCCATTTGCTATCTCAAGATCTTGGGAAGTTTATGAACCTCTTCTAAGAATTGGTTTCTCCACCAGCAAAATAGAGCAGGCTTATGGTATATGCATGCGATGTGGGCTTATTGTGAGAAGTAAAAAAAACAAAACAAAACGTGATAATGTATGTACAGCAGTTGGTGGTGGGGGGGGTCCCAAGAAATGGCAGTTTTATTTCCAGGAAACCGAGGTTGAGATTGGCAGGTGAACTCTGAGCTTCCTGGCAGCCAAGTGAAAAAGGGAAATAGGACATGAGGACTCACCCGAAAGCAGGAAAGCATATCAGGAAAGAAGTGTACTGGCACTAAATGCTAAGAAGAGATAAGGGTGGGGCTCTTCAAGGGGTGACAAATATCACCAATGGTTTCCATCTCGATTCTGTGACAGGTACAGATTGATCCTCATACGACTAAGCCTCAAATCAACCATCATAACACAAGGACATAATGCTGTCAGAGAAATGCAGGCTGGGGTGTCACCCTCTGAGGTCTGACCTAATAAAGGAAGGGATGCGCTGTCTCCTGGACTGTGGTGCTCCAGTACTAAGTGGCTCCCTCAAGTTTCTGACAGCAGCTGGCTGAGGGAAGGGCTGGAGTGCGTCCTCAAGGTCAAGGTGGTATGGTGTAGGGCCTTGAGCGTGGCCTCGGGTCTGGAAGATCTGAGCTGACTGCATGCCCCCTACCCGCTGTGTGACCCTGGCCAGGCCTGTCCCCCTCTGATCTGCCCTTGTCCTCAGGTTGCTCACTCAGGAGAGCCTCTGCCAGGGCTATTCTTAGCCTCGGTGTCCTTCCTGGGCCTAGGTCAGCAGCTGCCTTCGTCCCTTCTTCCTGCCGGCCCTCGGTTTCAGTCGTCTTCGTTCTCCTCTAAGATGAAGCTAAGGATGGCTCCTCCCTCCCAGGATGACAGTGAGGACAAGCTGAGACACGCTCGCAAAGCCCTGGGCACAGAGCCCGGCCTGGCTCAGGCCCCCGTCAGTGGTCACACCTGTGCTGGAGTGTAGACTCATGTCTCGAATGACAGCTGCGGACGCGACCAGGTGACAGTTCTTAGTGCAAGCGACCTGTTCTCCTGCTCTGAGCGGGTGTCCTGGGGAGGCTCTGCCGTTGGCAGGTGCCCCGAGTAACCGTGCAGGGCCCCCAGCCCACAGGCTGCTGCCCCGGGGCCCGAGGAGCGCCCGCCTCCACGCGGGGCTGCCTCTGCGTGCCCCCCGTGGGGGTTTGGGTTTCCAACCGGACAAGCGAGCAGGCAGATCGGCCAGTTGAATGCAGGTGGTGAACTGCTCTGTTTGGGCGGGTGAGTTTATTGGCACTTTTCTTTTGAGGTGGAATTCACAAAACACAATACTAACCATTTTAAAGTGAGCAATTCAGTGGCATCTGGTGCATTTGCAATGTTGTATAACCATTACCTCTAGTTCCAAAACATTTTCATCACCCCAAAAGAAACCCTGTACCCCCCCAGCAGTCACGCCCTACTCTCTCTTCCCCCCGGTCCCTGGCCACCACTAATCTGCTGTTTCTATAGATTTAACTATTCTAGACTTTCATAGGAATGGAACATACATATGTGGCCTCTTGTGACTGGCTTCTTTCACCGAGCACAATGTTTTCAAGGGTCATCCTTGTTGTGCCACGGATCTGTACGCGATTCCTTTTTATGGCTGAATACTATTCCACTGTGTAGATAGAGCACATTTTGTCCATTCACCCACTGATGGACATTTGGGCTGTTTCCACCTTTTGGCTATTGTGAAGAAGCTGCTGTGAACATGTGTGCACAAGTATTTGCTTAAATGCACCTTTTCAATCCTTTTGGGCATCGTATATACCCAGGAGTGGAGCTGCTGGGTCATATGATAATTCTGTTTTTAACCTTTTGAGGAACCTGATTGGGATCTTAGTGTATTAATCTGGTGCTGTTCCTCCCCACGTGTCTATGCCGTGTTGCACAGTGGTCAGGGCACAGGATTGGGGCAGGTAGCTCTGGCTTCGGATTTAAGCGTGTCATTTGCTTGCTGTGTGACCTCTGGTGAGTTACTTGCCCTCTCTGTGTCTCCGTTTCCCCACCTGCTGATCACAGGATGGCATAGGCAGCATCGAGGGAGATGGTGCCTGGCACGTGCCTGACTCCATGCCTAGCACTGAAGTGTAAATTAAGTGGGAGCTCTTATACCTTTTAGGGTTGAAATTTGTTCTCCTCAGAGCCCGTTCCCACCCACTCAGAATCTGACGAGGCTCTACGTGCTCGTGGGCTGCAATCAGCAGAGATGCTATGACATGGGGAGGGCTCAGGCAAGTGGGTGTGATGTGTGGCAGAAGTGTAACATGCCCAGCTAACGGAGTTGCTCAGTTGCACCCCAAAGAGCCTCAGCCCCCTGAGAATATTATTTTTAAAACAGCTGAGCTGAGTGAACAGTCCCAGCTTCAGAGTGGCGTGGCCTGGGGGCAGCTCTGTGCTTCTGATGCGGCCAGCAGGACCCAGTGGCGTTCTCATGAGCCAGGCAGTCCTGACCTTCAAAGGGGGAGTCCTCTCCCCACTTCACAGACGAGAAAACAGAGACTCTGAGAGGCTCGTTGCCTTCAGCTCCGAGCTGTAAAGCCGTGACTTGCATCTGCATTTTATGCTTCCCACAAGCCCATGTTGCGTGGCACTAGTTTTGCATGAGTGGCCAGTATCCTCCAGCCCTGCGAGGGGGTGGCTGGGAGGCGGAGACCCAAATCCAGAGGGTGGGACCTGCCCTGGGGAGCAGGGACTTCAAGGCTCAGGCAGGCGGGCAGGACGCACTCAGTGGTGACGGCTTTGTAACGACCACATAGGACAGCCTGGCTGCTCCAGGCTCAGAGCAGGAGGCAGGATGCTGCATCTCCTGGGTCCTGCCTCCCTGGGGCTCCCACTGGGGCCCGACCCACTGCTGCCCTGTTGTAGGGCCTCCTCCCGCCCTCCTCCCCAGGCCTGGGCTGCTCCTGGTCGCAGTACCCCACCATCCTCTCCATCCTGCCTCAGGAGAGGGACCCACCGCTCTCTCCTTCCTAGTCCCAGGAGACTTCTGTGTATGTTGTCTTTGCTGCAGCCAGGACAGGGAAACAGAAGCGGGGAAGTTACGAAGGTTCCGGAACAGGACTTCACCATTATCTCAAGTCCAGCGTCTTGGTCTCCTGGCTTGCGGTGCTAGCTTATTTCCAGGCGTGCAGTGAAGGATTAACCGCCTGGAGAGATCTGGCCTTTGCCCTCAGCTCCTGGGAGGTGAGCTCTAGGACCTTGGCATGTCCTGCCTGATATGAGTGTCTCTGTGAACCCAGGGCCTTGGGCCACACAGGATGGGCCCGATCTCCAGAGGGGCTGCAGGCTGGGATCAGCCACGTCTACACGAGCGACCCCCACTGAAAACTCTGCTCACCGAGGCTCTGGGGAGCTTCCCTGGCTGGCAATACTCTATGCATAGTGTCACACGTTAGTTAGTGCTGGGAGAAACAGGTGCCCTCTGCACAACTCCTTTGGGAGGGGACAACGGGCAGCTCTGCGCCTGAGCCCCTGCCCCATGAGCACGTTGCTGGGCTCGTTTTAGTCTGCATCCTTTTGCTGCCATAACCTGTAACCATGAGCACGATGGCTTCGCTGAGTTCTGTGAGTCCCACTAGTGAATTATCGAACCTGAGGGTGGTTCTCGGGACCCCTGAACTTTGCAACAGGCACGAACTTATCAAAATACGTACCTCATAGTTACCACCTCTGCTTTACAGAGAAGAAAACTGAGGCTCTGGGCTGACCTGGTCCAGGTTTCATGGCTCCTAAGGGGCCTGGGCCCCACGCATCGTGACAACTAGAAAACGGGAAAGCACCACACAGCACGCGGCGGTTCCCAACCACAGTTTATTTGGTGCCTGTCCGGTGGCGGCTGGTCGCCTGGCAGGGCACTGGCTACGTGGGCTCTACTGCCGTGTGCGGCTCGGCACAGGCCTGGGTTGGGCACTACGGGGGCTCGGCTCCTACCAGGTAGAGGACTGTCACCCAGGACTGGGAGGGAGGGGCGTGTCCCGCTGAGGCTGCGGCAGGCCGGCGCCTGGTCACGCGAGGCCACTCAGCTGCGCAGAGGGAGGGGGGAGGTGGGCTGCTGGCTCCAGGAAGCCTCCCGGCCCCGCCGACCCGCAGCTTCAGCAGGGCCCCAGCGGCTCAGATGCGGCTCTGCCAAGGGTGGGGGGTGTGGGATGCTGGGGAAGGGTTCTCCTTCACTTCCGAGAGCGGGGAAATACATTCTTGTTTGAAAGTATATTGAAAAGACAGCTCGTATACCAAAGTTTCTAGAAAAGAGGGGACATCCTTTGTAAGAGGGTCAGGGCAGCAGGCTTAGCCGCAGTCCTCGGGGAGGCGGTCAGTCGCGGCCCACAGTGCACCAAGCAGCTGGCGAAGGGGGGAGAGAGACGCACGCGGTAAGCGGAGGAGGTTGTTGGGAACAGGCAGCCCCGGCCCGTGTCCCGTGGAGGCTGCAGCGAGGGGCAGGCAACACACCTCCCCGCTCCTGCACCCCGGGCCCCCATCCCCTCCTTCAGCTGCTGCCAGCTCTGTGCCAGGCAGAGGGGAAGGCTGGGGCCCTTTCGTGGGGTGCAAAGGTGCTTGCCGGTACCCTCGGTGGTGAATCATGTGCCCGTGGAGGCAATGTCCATCCAGCTGTGAATGTGGGTGGGGGCCTGCCCTGGCCTGGGGGGATCTTCTCGGCCTCTGGCACAGCCCCACCACACGCTGGGCTCTGGGCCCTCTTCCCTGGTGCCCCTGGCCTTCGGTCATGTCTGAGGCTCCCCCCCATCCCCACCGTGTTGTTCTGAGGTTGTAGGGCCACTTTATGTCTCAGGCCCCGTCCTTCCATTTCAGGGGCTAGCCTGACGCTCTGGCCCTCCGTCTCCCTGCCTCTAAGCCCCTCCTTGCAGCCCCCGCATCAGTGCCGAGCACTCACTGTAATTCCTGGCAGCTAAGGGAGCAGAAGCAAGGGTCCTTGGAAGATGTGGGCTTTGACCTTCCCTCGACTCAGCTGTCTCTGCCTGGAGACGCCGCTGCTCTTGCTGGAGCCAGGGCCCGTGGCATCCCTGCTCCCCCCGTGGCTGTTTGGGGCCCTCCTCCCCGCCTGCCCTCTACCTGGCACGGAGATCCTGGAGAGGGCCTCGGGCTGGCTCAGCGTGTCCACCTTGACGTGCCGGAACGCCTTGCACACAGGGCTCTGCAGATGCCTGCGAGCCAGGGGGCCACTGGTCAGCTCTAGGGGCTGGGCTGTCGGGTTCCGCCCAGGATGGGGGCTTAAACACCACTCAGCCCCCTCGGGGCTTAGAGCCATCGTGGGGAGAGGACCCCCAGCGAGGGGCATGTTTGGGGAGAGAAGAGCCTGGTTCTGCCTTCCAGGGAGTGTTCTTAAGCAGCATTTTCTTCCTGGACTTTTAGCCCTTGGGCAGCAGTTTTCAAGCAGGACCCGGGCTGGCCAGGGACCTGGATGTGGCGCCCAGCTGAGCGTGACGAGGGCCACACCGCACACTGAGAAAGGCTGCCTCCAACTGGGCTGAGGGCATGCGTCGGCCGGAAGCGGCCCGCATTCTGGGTGGTGGACGCTGCTGGAACCCAGGCTCCTTATTACCATCCCCCGTCCCCCCAACACACACTCTGGGACAAGGGAGGGAGCTGAGAGCCCTGGCAAAGGGGCCGGGGCTGCCCCACCTCCCCGCATCCCGTCACCTAACCAACTGCCGCGGCCTGGCGCCCGAGGACGTGGCCATGCCCACCTCTTCCACTCCTCCTCCGTCTCCCAGAACTCGTAGACCACGAAGGTGAAGCCGTCCGACAGCCTCACGGCGGCGATGCTGTACGGGGAGACGCGAGGCCGGAGTCGGTGGCCTAACCCAGGCCACCCACGTCCCTGCTCCCTCGGCTGCTCTCTTCCTCCCCCCGCCACCCCCTACCCTCAAACGAGCCTGGACGGGTGCCCCCAGAGCCAGGCTACGGGATACCTTAAGACCCTGGAAACGTGAGCCTGGCTGGAGCCGGGGTGGCCAGGGGCGGGGGCGTTCCAGGACAGGCAGCCAGCTTGTCACCAGCCCATGGCTGCTCCTGATAACACGCTGCCTTTCTGATCAGAACAACTCGGCCCCTCCAGGGCCAGCCCTCCAGTCTGATCGGTCCAGCGTGGATCCCCACCGCCCAGAGCAAGGCCTGGCCCCTGAGAGTGGCCAATGCATGTTTGTTAAATGAATTATAATGAAATGTCATTTTACAAGGCTTAATATTCGTTTCCTCCTGCCGTGCTCTCCTTCATAATCATCTCCTCATTTAATCCTTAAAACACTCCCCCGAGTCAGAACTGGCCCAACCGAGGCTGAGGGAGTTGATGGTCCAGCAGGCCGGACATCAAGTTCCAGGTCACTCCTGCCTCAGCTGTGTGACGGTGGCAGGCCACTTGTCTTGTTTTAAATAGGACCAATCCTACCTGGGGTCGTGTGGGGAGCAGGACTGAGGGCCAACCTCCAATTTTACATCATCTCTAACACTGCCCTGATCTGGCCTCTTGACAGCTGTCCTGGCCGCTTCTCTCTTTCAAACGCTCAGCAGAACAGAACCCCAGAGCATTCCTCAGGGAGGAGAATCCTGTCCTGGGTGGCATCTGCTGTGTAATTACAGGCAATTCCAGGTTTGCCACACAGGATGGAAGCGAGGACACAGGCAGCTAACAGTGTCATTAGTTCATTACACTCCAGCCTAGAATTACCCGTGGAGCTGTGGGCTCGTGACTCCATGAGAGGATGGGGGATGCATGCCGCCTGCTAATCAGATATACCCCGTGGCCCTTTGCTAGACTCAGAAGGCGCTGCCTACAGGCCTTTCCGTGGGCAGACAACGGTCATCAGAGCAACTGGGTGCATCCAAGGCTGGGTACTGCAGCAAAATGAAAGCAATCATGGTGATTGCGTTTGCTCGGCTGACGATGCACCGATTGCTTTTTCTTGGGTGGGGGGGGGTCGCCTGGGACGGGCACGAGGACAAGCAGGCAGGCTCGGGGTGCAGGGAGGACTCAGAGGGTGAAGCCCTACCGCGTGCCGCCTGTGTGCACAGGAGGGGCAGCTGGGCCCCCTCTCCTTCCACATTCTCCCCGCAGTGAGCGTGCCCACCACGCCCAGCCCGCCCTGCCCAGGTCTCCCCACTTGTATGCACACCTCGACTGGCATCTCCAACTTAACGTGGCCCAAATGGCCCATGTGACTCCCTCCACCAACACACCTGGCCCCCTCAGTACACGGCACCATCCTCCATCGAGTTGCTGAAGCCAAAGAACCTCTGATCCTGCCTTGCCTCCTCCTTCCACAACCCCTCATCCCAGCCACCAGCGAGTCGGGTCAGCTCCACTCCAAAACAGATCCCAGCCCTACCCACGTCGTGCCAAGGCCAAGCCCCCTCTCCAGGTGACCACAGAGAGGGGTCACCCTGCTGCACTCTTGTCCCCGCCCACCCCTTCTGCACACAAAGGAGACAGAACGACGTCTGGCTCCTGCTCACGCATCTCCAACATGGTCCATCGTACTCCAAACGAGCAGGGCCTGGAGGGTGGACGGGAGTGGGTCCTGCCCGCCAGCCCCGTCCCTCTCCCCCCTCGTCACTCCGTCCAGACACACCAGCAGCTTGCTTTTCCTCAAACATGGCACCCTCGCTGCCGCCCCAGGTCTCAGCACAGGCTGATCCCCCCGAGACTGCCCTTCCTCAGCGCGCATGCAGCCCCTCAACCTAACGCAGCCCCTCCCCGGGGCCCCCTCTCTTGGGACCCTGTTTCCTGGCCTCCTAGGCACCCATCACCACTCGGAATCATCTTTGTCTGCCTCTCTCCCACCACCTGGAATCAACAGTCAGCAAGAGCAGCAACGGGCTTCACGGCTGTGTCCCCAGGAAGCAGAGTGAAGGCGTGTGCTCTGGAGGTGGAAAGAAGCCATGTGGAGAGAGAGACTGGAGGCAGGACACAGGGGCTACAGCTACGGTCCGCTGGGCACTGGTGGGTGGGCCCCAGACGGGGAGGGAGAGAGCCTGGGGGCTTGTGCCAACAGCCCTCTCGGACCACTCCCAGCAAGGGAGAGGGCGGTCTTTTGTGGGCCACTCAGATGTGGCCATGGCTGCCTGGCTCAGCTCTGCCGAGAAGGAACGCTGGCCTTGGCAGCAGGGACCAGAGGGTGAGGCCCTCGAGGGGCAGCCACAACAGTAACGGTGGCAGCCAACACGGAGTGGGCGCCGATGGCGTCCCAGGTGCTGGAAAGTCCTTCACGTTTATTATTCCATTTACACCTGTCCGCTCCACCTGTTAGTGGTCCCACTTTACAGACGAGTAAGCTGAGGTAAAGGAGAAGAAATCACTCACCCCATCTGCACAGCGGGGAAGAGCCTGAGCCCGGACTTGAACCCAGCTCTTAACCAACCGCTAGGTGCCTCCCTGGGGAATGGTTTGTTCTCAGGGGCTGTGCTGGTCCTGCCCGGCCCTCCACCCAGGCAGAGCCACCCGGCCCCCCCTCGGCCAACTCACTGGAAGCAGTTCTTGGCCCCGGCGGTACCCCGCAGGTACTGTCGCAGGGAGTCCAGGAACTCGCTCAGCTGCTCGGGGCACACGGCCATCTCCTGCCGGACCAGCTGCAGATGCTGCGGGGCCACAGGGCGAGTGGGTGTGGGCGCCCATGGGCCTGGCAGCCCGCTGCCCCCCGGCTCCCTGCCAGCCCCCTCCTCCCAGGACCCCCCCCCCCAGCCCCATGGGCACAGCCTCCCCGACCTCCCTTCAGAAAGTAGGGGACAATTTGGTCAAAATAAAACCAAAAAAACCCCACACGCATGCACCCTTTTTATTCTTACATAGAAGAACTGGCTAAAAAAGAACTAGGACTTAAAAAGTCAAATGCAGGACGCAGTCCCACAAACTCTGAAAACCGGACAAGGGGGTGCAGACAGTCCCTGTGACGGTCTGGAGCTGCCCGCAAGGCATCCGGGTCCGAGACACAACAGCATCAGTGACCAGCAAAAGGCGTTTCTGATCAAGTCAGTGTTGACATCACTGTCCTGTTGGTCACTTTGCTCCGGGCCAAACTTTTTCTGCTCAAAGCCCTGGTGCCTCAAAGGACACCCCTGGGAGGGGAGGGTGGCCAAGTGCTGGGGCAGCATCTCCCCTCCTGGTAGTCCCCAGGGGCGCTGGGTGTCAGGGACGCTGAGCCACGGGCACCTTGAGTCCTGGCTCAGGCAGGGATGGGGCCACAGGAGAGGGGTGGGGAGGGAGGCCTCGGGAGAATGGGCTCACCATATTGGTGCCTTCTTCATCCGAGAGGCGCTGCTGCAGGTCAAACCAGAGGGTCTGAAATAGCAAAGCACAAAGAGACGCTGGAGACAAAGGCCACTTCCGCCAGGGAGGCCTCCAGGACCACAAGGACACTGCAGCGCTCAGGGCCCCACAGAGCACCAGCCCCTCCACCCCCAGGCACCAGAGGCTCTGGAGTCCCTGGACTGGTGGGAGCTCCCAGGGCTCAGGCTCGCTGGACAGGGCTCAATCTACCCTCCACACACAGCCTCGGCTCAGAGGGGAGCCAAGCAGACGTGCTGCCGAGGGCATGAGGAGGCTCCATCTTGCTGGGGGAGGGATGGTCTTGGGAGAGGCAGCAGTGGGGACTCGAGTCCTGAATCCAGGACCCTGGGGTTTTGCCACAACTGCTGGCACAGCCCTGAGATTCCCCATCAACTGACAGATCACCCTAATTGTAACCCCTGGCACCTCATCTCACGGTCCAAATGAGGTGGTCTGTTCTCGCTGGCCTTCCGCAGGCCCTGGGCTAAACGCTCTACGGACACCTTTTATTTAACCTTCCAGACTCCCTGGGACAGGTGTGCGCCACTGTAAGCTCCAGGGAAACTGGAATCCTGTGCACGCCGTTCACGACCACGTGCTGGTGTCTAGAACAGGGCCCAGAACCTCGTGGCTGCTCCATGGTCACTATTTCATAGCAAACCTCCCCGGGGCTCTGAAGGCCACACAAGCCGGTTGTTGAGCCTGGGTCTGTACCCGGGGCCGCTCTCCTCTGACACCCAGAATCATGATTCCTCTTTAACTGGGCACTCCAATAAACGCCGCTTCTGTGCCTATCCCTGCCCAGCCTCCCTGAGGACAGCCGAAACCACACACCCAGGTCTTTCCTCTCACACAAGCACGTGAGGGAGGCACACTGGCTGGCTGTGAAGGAAGACAGCAGCAGATGTGCGGGCCTGGGACCCCTGCAGTCACCATCCTGAAATTCTTAATGTTTGAACAAGGGGCCCTGCCTGCTCATTTTGCGCTGGGCCCCCTAAATCACGCAGCTGGTCCTGGAAAGTGTATTGCCTTCAGGGACACTCAGGGTGAACTTGGTTTGTGGGTGGCCAAGGAGTGCCTGGCAGGAACAAGCCTGTTTCCATGGTTTGACAACGGTGTCGGTGGGCTCCTGGAGGGCAGGGGCTACATCCGGTTTCCTAGGCTTCTACGGGCCGGCAGGGCCACGCGAGGGTGACGATGAGGGGAGGACGGGGGAGGCACAGTGGCACCCACGTCTGCCCGTCCGCCCCTCTCCCAGATCAGCCACCTAGCGCTCCATCCTCCAGCCGAGACCAAAGCGGCTCAGGTTGGCCCGCGGTGGGCGGGGCCCAGAGCCGGTCCCCCATTGGCTCCTGCTCGCGGCCTGGGCCAATCAGAGGCCAGTGAGGAGGATCCCGCCCCGTCTCCAGGACGCCCAGGTGCGCCTCGGTTTCCAGCCAGCCGGTTGTTAAGGCGACGGGGCACTAAAAATAAGCTTCAAAGGGCCTACCTCTGGAGGCGCCCGCGGAGTTGTTATGACAACCAGGCCTCAGGGTCTGCGGGAGCCTTTTCCACCGCTCCCACCCGCAGCTTTAAGGGCGGAGATCCCACCTGGGTCTCAGCCCTGCAGGTGGAATCGCGCCTCCTCCTTCAGATTCCCCTCTGATCGCTGCTTCACTTCCCTGTGTGTGGGGAACCCGGCCCCCTGCCCCACAAATTCCTCAGAACCCCCAAACCCATCAAAGTACTAATTATTTTGCCCTTTTGCAAAAGATGTAAAAAAAAATTCAAAAAAAGCAGGAGAAATGTAAAATCACCCCAACCCTAGGGCTCCTGGAAACCTGCTATCTTGGTTTATGAGGGCACATGGGTAGTGTGTCCATGTATTTAGGTTTTGGTATCAGAATGTCCAATGATAATTGCTAACATTGCTAGAATTAACTGCTAACTACACAGCAGGCTCCCTGCTAAGCCATTAAGACATCATTTTATTTAATCCTCACAACAACTCTGTGAGGGTTACTATTCTGATTATCTTCTCTACTGTCAGAGGAGGAATCTGAGGCTCAGAGAGGGTAAGTCACTGGGCCAAGGTCACACAGCTGTTAAGTGATATAGCCAGGATTTGAATATGGGCAGTCTGATACCGAACCCATTGGTACACCTTAAGGCAATCTCTTTTCTTTCTTCCAAGAAATAGTCATCGTTATGGGTGTCCCCCCAAAATTCATATGTTGAAGCCCCAACCCCTAGTACCTCAGAATGTGAATGTTTTTGGAGACAGGGCCTTTAAAGCGGGAACAGAGTTAAAATGAGGCCATTAGGATGGGCCCTGATCCAATATGACTTGTGTCCTCATAAGAAGAGAAGATTAGGACACAGACGTGCATGGAAGACCACGTGAAGACAATGGGGAGAAGACAACTGTCTACAAGCTGAGGAGAGAGGCCACAGGAGAAAGCAGCCCCGCGAACAGCCTGACCTCAGATTTCTAGCCTCCACTGGGAGAGAATCGATGCCTGCGGTTTGAGCCCCCCGGCCTGCAGTTCATGGTTACGGCAGCCCTGGGAAAGTCATACACTCGTCCTGTGATCACCTTCTCAGTCACGAAGCGTCCTCTGAAGACACGACTCAGTAAAGGCTGAGCCATTTCCTATTCTCTGTGGACGTGCCATGTTGTATTTAAAAGATCTCACGCTGCTGGCCCTTCAGGTTGTTTCTAACCTCTCCTGGATGTCCTCGTCTCTCCTTCCCACCACGCTGTGTCTTGGTGTCACCTGCCTGGGCCACCTCGCATTAGAGCAAAGCCGCCCTGAAGCTCTGTGCCCCTGCTGCCCGTGACCCTGCTGACTACTTTCGGCTCCTTGAGATGCCCCTCCTGGCTGCCCACCCGCCCCGCCACAGCTGCTCCTTCACCCAGGCACCTCTCCCTGGGCTGTACGATGGACGTATTCCCGGGGGGGTCTATCCTTATGGAGTCGTGTTCTCCATTTCCACGCTCCACCTGTGATGTCTTCCCAAGGCTCGCTAACTTCTGTCCCAAACTCCAGGCCTAACTCTGCACTCCCTGGGGGCTGGGGAGAGCAGAGCGATGGAGGCAGGGGTCAGTGGCCTTACCTTGTTCTCCAGCCGGCCTATGAGCTCTGCCAATCGGCTGATCTGGGCTTCCAGGCCCTCCTCCTTGGGGTCCGCGGTGACTGGGAAAGAGGAACAGAGACACTGATGGTGGGCAGGGGCAGGCCTGGGGGGAGGGGAGCTCCTAGCCCTCTTAGGGGCTGAGAGCTGCCCCCAGCCTCTCAGTCCCAGTCCCACTTGGAGGCCCAGGACCCATCTGGGCCACTGCAAGAATTCGACCGAGGACCCCAGCCAGTGCCCCCACCCCAGGCCACCGCTCTCTCACCAGATGGAGGACTCTTCCCTTGTTCCGTGGCCATGAGCTTGTGGTTGGGGGCGTAGGGGGGAGTGAGGCTTCCACACCAGGTCTCCACCACGCCGTGGCTGGGTTCGCTGTGGTTCTGTCTGCAGTGAGTGGGGGACACACACACACCATGGGGGAGGCTGCAGGGCCCTGACCCCTTCAGCAGCTTTGACAGACACTAAGCACGGACCGTGGGCTGAAACGTGCAGCTTACTCCGTGGAGCCCGTCCCTGGGAAGCGGGCATGGTGGCCTTTGTTCTACGGAGGAGGAAACAAGGCCTACAGGCGGGCGACTTGACCAAGGCCACGCAGCTGGTGGGCAGAGGCGGGATTTGAGCTCAGCTCCATTCCAGGACCCCACAGCCTGGGTCCTGTTCCCAGGACCTGGCTCAGCTCCAGGGCCGGGGCAAGGGTGAGCCAGGCCCCCACCCCACCCCAATGGCTCACAGCTTCCCCTGTCCCTCCCTCTCTGCCTGCCTCACTAGGAGCCCACTTGGTGTTCAGCTCCCTCCAGGGTGGGGGATCCTGGATTTGCACCAGCTAGACAACTCCCTCCCTGAAAAAGGCAGCCCCAGGACACAGCGGGGAGTGGGCGTTAACAGAACAGAGAACTCGGCGATCCTGACCTCAGCCAGGCCCCGCACCCCACACACACAGCCACGCACACACACGTGCACAAACCCCGGCACACACACGGCCCACCCAGCATGGTGCCCGGCACACAGCAGGGACTCAACAAACGCTCGGTGGATGCCCAAATCCCCACGTGTAGAGATGCTGGAAAACTCACCACATACAAGGACGCAGACACACGTGTCCACATAAAACACACACTCCCATGTGCACGGCCGACAGGCCCAGTCCCCAGCCCTCCTCTGCCTTCGGGCAGCGCTGCCTTGGTGCGTTCTGGAATCCGTCTCCTGTGAACCTGAACACTCAGCAAGCCCCTCTCTCGTGGGAGGGAAAGGCTGGCGGAGCATTCGAGTTGTCAGTCCTGGCGGCTCTACAGCCCAGCAGCAAATTAAATGTGGCCCTCAGACCACGAACTCGGGCTGTGGGAGTCCCCCAGGGGTGGTGGGGTTGGAACCAGCGGCTTGTGCCTGGAACTGACATCCCAGGGCTGGGACACAGGATGACAGGGGACTCACAAAACAGCTGAGATTTGGGGCGGTTTGAGTTGGGAGTGCATGTGAAGCAGATGTGTCTCCCCCTTGCGACGTGCCACCCCCACCACCAACATCCCAAAGTAAGGAAGGTCCCAACGTGGGGGCAGACAGGCATAACTGCTGACACGTGACAGAACTCGCAAAGTGCCGGAAACCAGCCACGAAAATCCTGCAGCCCTTCTATCTGCTCTGCTGCAGGATAAAACTGGTGACCTTTCCATCAAGATAGTGAGAAAAGAAATCTGTGACAGCTTCCAGAGCTGTGGCTGTTAACTTCAGGGACCCTCAGAGTCACAAGACTGATCACAGGTGCAGCGTTCTGGGCCCAGCTCCCAGGGATCCTAATCCAGCATAGCGTGGGGCCCAGGAATCTGCATTTTACATTTCCCAGGTGATCTGGCTGCCCATGCTCAGAGTAAACACATTTTGGAAACACTGTCATCAAATGGCCTTCACAATCATATCTGATTGGGACCAGCCCCTCAACAAGCAAAAACACACATTCAAACCCCTACCCCACAGCAACCAACATCCTGCCATGCGGGCCCTCTGCCTGGGAGCTCACAGCCGCGCATGGAAATTCAAGGCTCAGTCCCACCAGGGCCCAGACACCGGCTGTTGCTCTGATCCATCCGTATTTCTTTATTTCCCCTCTACCCCAGGCACATTAGCTGTCCTGGGAAGAACAGGCACAGGGCAGTGTCTCAACTTGGGATAGCAAATGCCAGGGCTCGCGGCCCCCGGGGACGGGCACTGCTGAGCCGGAAGGAGAACTGCTTCTCTCTGGACACTGGCTTGGCCCTCGACACAGCGTCTGCCGCCAAAGGCAGGGGGGACCCCGGATGCTTTCCCATGGCTTCAAGAACATGCAAACACAGCCTTAAATAACAGTAAATAACCCTGGGAGAAAACCACTCCATTTCACAGCTCTTTCAATCCTTCTGAGAAAGTCAGGACTTGGGCACCCTCTGTCTTCAACGCCTCTCTACCACACCCCCGTCTCTCTCTAACAACAGGGAGCAGCCTCAGGGTCCCGGCTCTGCAGGCGCGACAGGTGCCTGGTTTGCACCTACTTCATTTATGGCACGTGACACTTGTTTTCCAGGTGTGCTGACCACATGCAATTTCCTAAATTTATTTCCAGTTTTAAAAAATGAGGAACAGTAGGATAGTTTTAGGTAAACAATAATGTGAGAAGTATGGGGATGCAGCAAACTGATTAGTGTCTAGGAAACAGTCTAAACAGTCGGTCTGTATTGTCTGTACTGCATGCACACCAGGCATTCTTCTAAGCACACACTGTCTCATTCAGTCCTTACAATGACTGAGGAGGTTGGTATACAATCATCTCCATTTTTCAGTTGGGGAAGTGAAGGCACGAGAGGTGCAGCAGCTTGCCCAAGGTCCCCCAGCTCCCAAGTACACAGACGTCCCCACCCAACAGCAGGTTGGCACATGCACGGCATACTCCCACGTGACCCTGCAAGGTCCCATGGACGCACCGGATCTGGCTGGTCTGCTCTTCGATGGCCTCCACTGCGCTCTCCACGGAGCTCAGCAGCGAGTGGATCTGATTGGCCGTCTCCTTCAGGAGGAAGCGCGTCACAAACTGGTCCACGTTGCTCCCGCCCTCGTACACCTGTAGAGGGAAGGGAAGGGGCACAGAGGGGAAAGGGGTTGGGGAGGAAACTTGGGTGTGGGTCTGGCACAGAGTAGGGGGACACCTGGAGTCGGTGTCTCTGCCTTGCAGTGGGAGGTGGCGACCCCAGTGCCTCCTGCATCTTGGAAGCTGTACAGCTCCTGCATCAAGGCAGGAGCTATGAACTCAGAGACCAAGTCTGAGCCCCACCACTTACTAGCTCTGTGACCTCTACAACCATAACAGGAGTCGCTGTAGTATCTATCTTATGAGGTCATAGGGAGGACTGAATGACTAAACGTATATAAAATGCTCAGCACAGTGCCTGTCACATAGAAAGTACCCAATGAACAGTAGCTGCTACGATAAAGATGATGATGTTGATGATGATGGTGGTGGTGGTGGTGGCGGTGATGAGGGTGGTAGTCATGATGGTGATGGTGAAGACAGTGGTGATGGTGATGGTTATGAAGATGATGGTGAAGACAGTGGTATGATGATGGTGATGCTTATGAAGATGATGGTGGTGACGATGGTGGCGATGGTGCAGATGGTGATGGTAAGGATGATGGTGGTGGTGGTGGTGATGATGATGACTAGTGGTGTCGTTCTTGATGTGGTTGTGGACACGGATACAGTATTAGGGAAGAAGAATTCACAACCTCCTCTCCCTCCTTCCTCCTCCAAGGAGGATTCTTTGGGTCCTGGGCCTTCATGCTGCTACTCAGAGAAATGAGAGACGACTATCAAAAGTGGCCAGAAGGGTTAAACTGGCTACCCAAAGAAAGGGCCTGAGGCTCAGCCCTCAGGAGGAGGGGGTGAGTGGGGAGTCGGGGAGAAACAGAGGGAGGGAGACTTAGAGGCCACGAGGTAAGGAATTCTGGGGAAAAGACAGGGGAAGAGGATTTTCCACAAGTTCTGCTCTGTGGTGTGAGACAGAGTTTCCCCCTTTGTCACGAGTCTGCAGCAAAGACATATCTCAAGGTTTCTGGATCCAGTTGAGTTTCTTTGGGCTTCAAAAGGCTTCACAGTGAAAGGGAGGAAGCTCTGGCCTAGCCAGGTCACTCAAGGATGGCAACGATCAAAATGACGCTGTGTTGGGAATGCTAGTCCCACAACCCCGTGCTGCTCTCTCGGCTCCTCCGCCAAGACCCCACCCTCCTGAGCCACCTGCCCCGGCACCTTGGAATTCTGCCCAGTCCCTGAAATCAGGGCAAGGAAAATGGGGCTCTCAAGGAGAGCAAATTAAAACATCCATCACTCTGACTGGGAATTAATTAGCAATAATTGCACACGAGAGACATGGCTACAGACAGAGAGACTGATAAATGGAGGCAGAAATGGAAATGGGGATGGAGAAAGGCCGAAAGGAGAGGCACACACAGACAGGGAGGTGAGGAGATGGACATCCTGTGTCAACCACTGGACCAGGACACTGGAGACAGGCCCTGACAGAGAATCAATGTGTAGCAGAAAGTACGTCAGGTTCTGGTGGCCTAATGCATTGCAACTATCGATTATCCTTCCTAGCAGACAGTCGAACCCACGTACAATCCAGTGATCAATGGGCTCTGGACAACGAATGGCCAAAACGAACAAGAAGACAATGTGGTGAAAATTCTGAACACGAAGAGAAAGGCTGCCAGAAGCCATCAAGCAGAAAAATGAGCTAAAGTGTGTTAAAAGCATCCCATCAGTGACTGAGGGTGTGGTCAGGGGCCAACGTGTACCTGGTGAGTTGAATTCCAAAAAAGATAAGTTATTTTCAAAGGAGCAAAAATGTAGCTTTACGGATTTCTCCTCTGCCACAATCGATGCCTTAGCCAAGAGCCCAGCCCCATGATCCCAGCCCCACGATCCCAGAGGGAAAGGATCACGTCTGTAGGTCTGTAGGAACTGTGCATCACATGAAAGTTACTCGTTTGCAAGATAAGAGAGAGATATTCAGCAATGTGCGAATCTCTGAAATTTTATCAGATGAGTACCTTTCCTGCAAAGAATGTCTTAGAATTTCTCCCAATTTCTCATCTAGGGTTGAATTAGAGGAAGGATCCTTGAATAGCGGAGTTGTGAAGAGATGTCGGTGATCACCCACATTGAACATTAAGGTTACAGAGGTCAGGAAGTAAAACATAAATCACTCATCCTTCAATTTTAATCACATTGGATTAAATCAATAAAGAGTGTGAAAGTATGAAGAAAACAGATGAAAATCTCAAAAATTCCTGTAATTCCACAAAAGGCAATAGAAAGTACTTTTTTTTTTTTTTTTTTTGGTGAGGAAGATCAGCCCTGAGCCAACATCTGCCAATCCTCCTCTTTTTTGCTGAGGAAGACCAGCCATGGGCCAACATCCATGCCCATCTTCCTCCACCCTATATGGGACGCCACCACAGCATGGCTTGCCAAGCAGCACGTCGGTGCACGCCCGGGATCCGAACTGGTGAACCCTGGGCCGCCTCAGTGGAGCATGCGCACTTGTGCCACTGGGCCGGCCCCAGAAAGTACTTTTTTAATTAGTTAAATATAAAAACAGAATTAAGAATGTTAACAACGTGTGTTTCGGAAGTCACCAAAACTAGGTTTACCTTCAAAATCATAATCGATGCTATAAACAAGCAGAAGGTAAAACGTCACAGAGACGAAGGAAGCATAAAAGATTATGATGGCCATCAGCCCAGAGAGATCAGAATAATAAAGAAAAGCAGCCTAAATTCCCCCTCGTAAAGACACAGTCCTAGATTTGATTAAATGAGATCCAACTGGAGGCACAACTAAACCAAGATGGCAGCCAAGGATCTACAAAGAGAAGGCTGCATGAAGATTCTGCAACCAAACGTTATCAAATGAACAGGACAAGCAATATCACTAGGAGGTAGAATTTAAATGAGAAAGTATTACACAAGATACGAAGGGTAGGAATAGAACCACAAAGGCACAATGTACAACAAGGACACGACGTTATTAAATCTTCGAGCACCAGGAGAAGATATTGCTGTAGACCTGGCCATGGGGATTTAGATGGATATAACCACATTAAAAAGCAATTTTGCTTTATATCAAGAGCCTTACACTGCTCATATTCTTTGACCCAGTAATTCTCCACTTCTGATAATCTATCCTTAAGAAATAATGCAAAATGTGAACATTTATGTCCCAAGGTTATGGTATTATTCATAATAGCAAAAACCTGGATATAATGTAATATGCCCAACAACAGAGGAATAGTAAATAAATTTAAATAAGAATATTTAAAATTATGCTTTTGAACAGTTTTAATAACACAGGAAAAGTGTTTGTAAAATATTAGGTAAAAAGAAACAAAATAAATTTTTATCCACAGAATGACATTAAGTATATTAAAGAAATATGCATAGAGAAAAGGCTCAAAGGTAATAAACTAAAATGTTAACAGTGGTTAGGAATAGTGGAAATTAGAAGTGATTTAAATTTTTCTTTACATTTTTCCCTACTTCCTAAATTTTGCATATTGAATATGTATGATTTATATAATAAAAACATTATAACAAAGGTCTATATGTATCAAACAACATGGCTAAATATATAGAAAGGAAAAACACTAGAAATATAAATATTAAATGACAAAACACAATTTAGTGTGAGAAATTAGCTCATCATGGTCTCAGAGGACAGATAAATTAGCCAAAAATAAATAGGGATGCAAAGGGCACTGTCAAGAGAGGGGGAAAGTCTTTAAAATGGGCAAAAAAGATGACTGCATCTCTCGTCTAGCACACCCTCTGGGTGAACTAAGTCTTTCCTTGTTTTGGAGCTACTTTTAAAACTGCAAAATGTAGAAAACTGATGATAATGCAAATAATTCTCACCCACAGAAATGCATATGAATTTTGCCTGGTAGAATGCAATGGATTGCGGCCCTGTGGCTGCAACCAGTTTTGCATTTATTCACAAATTTATTTCATTACTCCTGGTTGCCTGCATACATGGCATGTGTTCTTTGAATTTTCCTTTGAGCCAGCTGTAACATCTTATGGTTCTCACATTAATCAATGAGTTAAACACAGTCTTTGACACGTGTGCATTTTCTATTTGTACAAGAGACACGATTTCACCTTTTTACAAAGTTGTCTTTTCACAGCATCTATTTCATAACAAAGAAAAGGATAGCTATTTTCAAATTTTATATTCTGAAAGTACGATCCACATTTTTTCTCAAGCATCCATGAGATAATTATGAAAACAAATCAAATAATATGTAACGAAGAAATCTCAATGCATTAAAAAAACAGAATAGAAACCTACCAGTCACTCCGTTTTATCCTAACACCATGAAATGAAAAATGAGTGAGGACACAGATTATTGGAGAACATTGAGAGAGGAAATACTACATATTAAAATCTATGATTGCAGTGAAAGTATCATTCAAAGGTAAATTTTTAAAATTTCAAACTTTATCATCACAGAAACTTTAAGCATTCCACTTCACGTATGAAAAAGACTAGGAAGAACAACAAATCTGAGGAACTCGGAGACAGAAAATAATAATGGTGAAAACTATAAATACAGCTGAAAACATACCATGAAATTTAAATAAATGTGTCAGGGGCTGGTTATTAGAAACAACTAATTAAAACAGGCAAAACTCTGTCAAATATAAGTTTTTAAAATGTAGCAAAATGGGACAAAAATTAAAATAAAATCTAAGCTATAACAGCAGATTTTTTTTGAACTTAGTCTGCATGAAGTGCCTGTTTTGTGTCAATGTTTTAGATTTTAAAAAAAAAATCGTTAAGAACTTACTATGCAAAACTGATCACAAAAATGAACATGTTCATGTAATTTTGTTTAAAAATATACTAAAATGGACATAAAAAGTAAAAAACTAAAACTAAGGTTGACCTTAAAATAACTTTTAAAATAATCTCCTCCCCTGTTTTGTACCTCGACCCAAGCCTTATGGATAAATTCTTTCTATTTTTGAAAAGAAAAATGATTCTACGTTAGAGCAGCTGATTCACACACAGAAAATATTCAAAACCACCTCATAAATCATTCCCAAACTATCACCCAATCTCAATTTCCGATAGAGACAGAGATAAAACACTCAGCGAGGGACAAGGATTCAGCAGTGTGATCAAAGAATAATGCACCAATTAGGGCTTATCACAGGAAGCAAAGGATTGTTCAATAAGAGAGAATCTAAAAATAGAATCCACCCCATCAAGAGCTTCAGAAAAATCAGATGATCATTTAAAAATACCAAAAAGGCACTTGAAAAGATTCACCACCACCTCCTAAGACAAAATTTAACGAAAGGAAGGCAAAAATATTTTTTAACAGGCTGAAGAAGATTCTAAAATAAGAGCTGGTGTTAATATTATAATCAGTGGAGAAATACTAGAGGGGGCACTGGAACATCGGGAGCAATGCAAGGATGCCTGACGTAGCACCAGTGCAGTGACTTAGAGCTTGGGGGCAATTCTAACAGGACCCAAGAGAGAAACAGGGGGAACACAGATCAGAAATGAAGACCGTCCCACAGCGGTTAACTGACACCATGACTGCATATCAACAAGAGCGAACGAGTCAGCTAAAACCACTGGGTGCAAGAGAAGCATCCGAAATAACAATCAATGAGCTGCATTTCTACGAACAAAAGTCGGTTAGAAAATACGCAAGAGAAAGAGATGCCAATCGACACGGCCACAACCTACCCCACCACCACCACTGAGAACGCACCAAAGGCCACACCGAACAGCCTATGCGCACGATTTCTGAGAGCAAAATCACCAAAGCTGGTCTGAGTCGTGTTGGTAGGCGTTAAAATCGTCTCCTTCATGGAGAATTGGATCACATCTCTGAACAGCTCCGGCCACAGACCGGAAAGCAAGGATGTTATCGATGCCTCTGGGAAGCGGCCCCACGCAAGGAAGAGAAAGCTGAGGCTCCAGGAGGCGGTGGCATCCGGTGCACCCCCACCGCGGAGCTGGGGCTGACATCCTTGCCTGGGTGACTCGGATTTGAGTTGGGGTCTTTCTGAGCTCCTTTCTAATCCACGGCCGGCCTTGATGCTTTCAGAATATCAAACAACAGTCTACAAGGATGAACGATGAAAGGGAATCGGTCTTACACGTAACTAAAATACACTTTAAAACACCAGGACTCAGACCAGCATGACGCTAGGACAGAAACAGAAACGTGGCTGAGTGGAGGCTCAGGGTCAGGCCCAGCTGTTTTCGGATAAGGGGAAGAAAGGGATTCTCTAATGCACGGCACAGCGGTAACTGAGTAGCATTTGAAAAACAAGTACAGAATTGATCTCTCCTATGTCTGAGCATACAACAGGAGCCTAATAATAAAAACCAGTAGGCACCTTTGCTCTGTGCCAGGCCCTGTGCTAAGCAGTTCAGAGACCTTCCTTCATTGAGTCCTCAGAAGGACTCTACAAGGTGAACGCTCCCATTTCACAGCTGGGGAAACCGAGGCTCAGAAACGGAAGTGACTGGCTTAGGGTCCTTCAGCCACTTTATCAGCTAAGCTCCCCAGCCTCCACGAGCAGATGGCCTTTTCTGAGCTCCCACAGCTCAAGGTATGGTAGGCTGCATGCTCGTGGGCGTCTACGCGGCCGCCTCCCAACTCCCTCCCTGCGTGCCTTGGTCAGTGTGCCCAAGCGGCTGCCCCGCTCCCAGCTGACTGACCCTCCAGTCACCCCTGGGTGGGCCTGGAGTCCCAGGATGCGCTCCACACCTCCTGCCAGGTCCTTGACTCAGTTTCCCCCCATTTCAGCCAGCAGCTAAGCTGTCTGGCTAGACTCTGCAGGGTTCACACTTCTGAGTCTGTTTCCAGAGCCATGAAACGGGGACGTGACAGTGGCTCCCCGCAGGGCTGCTGTGAGGATTAAGCGGAGCGTGTAGTCCCAGCCGCTAGAGGTGCTCAGGAAACTGACTGCACCTCTTCTCCGCGGATGCAGAGAAGGAACACGCCCACCTGTCCCTCAGACGCTGCCAGCCCAGCGGGGTGCAGACTCGGAGGGGGAGATGGAGCTCGGGGCATGGGCTGCTTACGCCCATCTGAGCTACAAGGGAGAGGGCACAATGACGCCCAGCCCACAAGCGGGCCCCATCTCCCTGCCTCCTGTCCTCCTCCAGGGCATGCATGCGACCAAGGAGGTGACAGGGCCATGGGCAGACTCTGGAGGCACATCAGAGAGCTCTCTCTAGGACACACAGGGAAGCCCTGCACTGGGCGCCTCCCCACACTCCTAATGGTTCTATTGCCCAGCTCACGTCTCCCTGCCTGGACACGCGTTCTCGTCCCAGACACCATCGGATTCCTCGGTCAAGTTCAGATGCGTGAACCTGCCCCTTTCCCTCCCCTTCCTGTCTGGTAACCCTGCTGTGGAAGGGCACGAGATCATCAGGGATGACACCTGTCCAAGGGCCCTGGAGGGCTGGGGGTGACTGCTGCCCCTTTTCTAGGACTCTATCCCAGGACCCTGCATTCCGGGAGAGGGCCGCATGCTCCAAACCAGACACCAGCTGGACAGGGCCATTCAACAAGCCGCTCCACTCACTTCACAGCTTATCTCAGCCCCCTCTAGGAGTCCCAGGCAAAGACCACCCAGACACAGGCCCACCCAACTCTTGTCATCACAAATCCAAGCACCCATGGGTGAGGACACCCTGGAGAAAATCTGGAACCAAACCAGCACTCAGGCCCTGGAACCCAAGGGGCCACCCACAGCCACTGACCTTCTTGGTGTAGCCCATGGCCTTCAGGACAGAGTGATTCAAGGTCTCCAGGGAGGCCAAGACGTCCTCATAGTCCCCCATGTGGTCCACAAAGTAATCTGGGGGCAGGGAAAGCAGAGACCAGGGGTCATAGGAGGATTCTGCCCCTCCCCCTGGACCCTCCCGCCAGTCCTGCCAGGGCCCCCCGCTGCCTCTCCCCACCCCCTCCCCACCCCCCCAGTCCTGGTCCCTGCAGAGTCGGACACCTACCACACAGCTCCTTGGTGTCCACATGGCTGCAGAGAGAGAGAAGAAGGGAGACTCAGAGCAGGCCTGTCCGGTCCCAGCCGCCCTCCCTCCGCAGCGCTCACAGCCCTGTGTAGCTGGTAGACAGCCTGAGTGCCATCTCTCTTCCCATCGTATAAGCTGGCACCGTGAGCCCCACTTTATAGGTGAGGTTGCAGCAGGTAAATCACGTTGCACCCTCCAAAGGACCGCGCAGGAACCCGTCTGCACATCTGTCTGACCCCATCACCACACCACCGCCACGTTTCCCCTCCCGAAGTCTGTGACCATGTCCTTAGCCCGGGGCCAGGAAAAGGGAGGGGAAAGGAACTATTACAGGCTGTCAACAAAACTCTCATGTGACACGCTGCCCCTGGGGACCCCCGCCTGCTGGGTCCAGGGACAGCCCTCCTTGTTCTCGCCCTAGTGCCGGGGTCCGCAGCCCCATTCCCACAGCGTGGAGAAGGATCCTGTCCTTCCTCGGAGGAGGCTGAGCACGAGAAAGCCACCCATGCTGGGAAGCTGCACGCAGCAGCCTCAGGACAGAGACGCAAGGGTGGAGTGCACTGGGGGCTGGCGCAGAGGGACCTGAGCATTTGTGTGGGTTCTGGTAACCCTCCCTTTCAGGGCCCAGTTCCCTCAGTGAGAGAGGAGGGGGAACCCAGGTTCAACAAGATGCTTCTGGGAAGAGGCTCCTGTGGCCAAATAAATCTGGGCTCAGAGGCCTTGCACGCTCTGCCCTGGAGGTTCCCTCAATTCGCATAGCTCATTCAAGGTTCTGACGAGTCCCGTGGCGAGGAGGCCTGTTTACCTGTGTTGAACTAGCATTTCACCCATCTTTCTGGTCTGTGTGAACTGTTTTGGGCAGAAAGCCTACTTAGCACCCAAGGAGCGAACAATTACAGCTCACACTCTAGGGAATGTTGGAGAATAATCCTAAAGGTCTTGAGAGTTTTGACCTTCTATCCTGGTGAGTCAGCCCTGCCCCCCCCCACACAATCTACTGGTTAAACTCTCAAACCAGCACCTCCTTCTCCCTCCCCCCAGCTGGCCTGACACAAAAGGCACCGAATGAGAATGAATAAATCAGCGGGCACCTGTCTCAGCCCTTTCGAAGCTCCCCAGGGGGCTGCAGGAACCCTCAGAAATTCCATCTGGCTCCAGAAACAAAGTCCTTCTCTGGGGAGGCTGTCTTTCTACTGGCCTCCCAGAGAAGGACACCCGCTCCACCCGCCCCACCCTGGTCCCCAGCGCCCGCCTCCCAGGACACTCTCAGCCCCAACCTCTGGCCCAGGCCACCACTGTGCTGGGTCCCTTGCAAACGGGCCTGGTGGCAGGTCCTCGCCCAGACCACCTCTAGCCTGTCTCAGGGGACCCCAACTTAGCAAAGCTGCCCCAGCAGCCCCCAGGAACTCTGGCCCTCGTCACCTGGGTGGGCCTGAGGAAGATGACCAGGTGTGGGGTGGAGAGGGGCTCGGGCCTCATCCTGCTTGGGGACCAAGGAAAGGGTGAGGGTGGAGTTAAGGCTGGGGCTGTTGATTCAGAGATGGGCTGGATGTCCAGAGTTTCTGGATGATTCTGACATGCAGGTTAGGGTTATGATCAGGTTGGAGGAAAGGTGCGGAGTTAGAAGCAGGGTCAAGGTCAGAGTTAGGATGAGTATTTGGTTATAGTCTGGTTGAAGATGGGATCGGTGAGGATCATCACAGAGTTACTGTTGAGACTGGGAACAAGCCCGAGGTGTCGGGGTCAGGACTGGATGGAGTTAGCAGAAGGGCCAGTGTCCCCTTTCGTTATCCAGTGCACACTCTGCAAAATGTAGGGTCTCTTCCTGCTTAGCCATGCCTGCTCAGAAAAGACCAACCTGCCAGAGCAGGATCAATCTCCACTCCCCATGTCACCCCGGGGGCCAGTGGGGACAAGTGGATCTGACTCTTGGGTTATCGAGTCTGGGGATTTTCAGGTCTCCCGGCCCCCCAGGGGAGTGGAAAATGGACACTGGTCCCTGGTTGAGAAGGGAGATGCCCCCTCCGCAGATCGGCTGGACGCCCCTGCTCAGCAACCAGGACGCAGCTCACTTGGTGTTGTCAGAGTCGATGGCGTGGAAGAGATCCTCCAGTTCCTTCTCATTGAGGACGCCATCTGCAAAGAAGAGCTGGAATTCCTCCAGAGACAACTTCCCATCATCTGCAAGGAAGGGAGGAGGGAGGGGGAGCAGCTGGTGTCTAGGAGATAGGACACCCCAAATCCAGACAACTCCCGACCCACAGATCAACTCCAGTCAGATAATCCCTGCCCGCCCAGCTAATTCCCAAATTAACTAGTAAATTCCAGTTCACTGAGAACCGCTGACTCATCCAGCTAATTCCCAAACCAACAGGCCAAGGCCTATTTACAGATAATCCCAAACCCACAAATAGGACGACCAGCGGCAGCCAGTGTGCTGGGGCTCACTAGGCAGCATCCGCTCCCCGTCAGGCGGGCTCGCTCCTGTGACTCCCCGGACCGCCTGCAGCAAGGTAGAGTTAAGGGAGCACCACTCCCGGAAGAGGCAGGTCCAAAGCCAGGCTGGTGACCACTCTCTTGCTTCCAAACGCCCAGATGGTCTCCCCACACGTAAATCATCTCCACCCCGGCACGCGGGTCCTGACCCTGCAGAGGGAACGACCCCTCTCCACTCTGCCCCGTCCACACGGCACACTTCAGGCCCGGACCTTCGTGTGTCCGACATGGGCCAGCACCAACAGTCGGCACGGAGTTCTCACCGTGCCACAGAGGCAGCCGCGAAGATGCCAGACCACAGGCAGGAGGTGCCCGGCCCTCCTCTGGGCGGGGGGCTGCGGTTCTGGGACGGGGAGGGGGCGGGGCTCTGGAAAGGGGCCCTCATAGAGGTGCAGGCGACCTGTTCCCCCTTTTCCCTCCCTCTGTCTCACCTCTTCTCCCTCCACTTGCAGTCGCCCAGGCACCAGCATCTGCTGGGGAAGTTCTCACGGGTGGGGCAGACAGGCCACTGAGGGAGGGGCTCACGGCAGAACCAGTGTCTCCAGGAGCGGCAGTCCCCAAGCTTCCACCCTCAGCTCCTCCCGCCTGGCCCACCTGCTGAGCACACTCTCGCCAGCTGGTCTCCACGCCCCTGCAACCATCCCCCCTCCTTCATGATCTCAGAATGGTTCCTGCTCCTCCTTAGAGGAGCCGAGTCCACGGGGGGCAGAGGAGGTCAGGGAGAAGGGCGAGCCCAGGACGCTTTGAGGCCCCCAGCCCCCTACGCAGACCCCCTTTCATTACTTCCAGCCAGTCTGCAATCAAAGCCCCTGCCGGCCCGCATGGATGAGAAAGAGACACCCCTCCTGGCTAGGGGGCACGCAGCCAGTGGCAGGGCATGTGGGTTGGGAGCGAGTGCCGGCTGGATCTGGGGCCCTCAATTCCCTGGGTAGTTGCTCTTGTGCAGGGCACAACCTACCCCACCACACATGGCAGACCTACTTGGGCCCAGAGCGGAAGCCACTCTGACATTGTTGAGGCTCTGGAGCTCCCATCTGCTCCCAGCGGCTCTGTGGGGGCTCAAAGAGGGGCAGAAGGACAGCTCAGAGAGGGGAGTCTCCCCTCCTGCCACGGCTGCCCACCGCCCATCTCCTCTGGCCTCATAAGCCGTACAGTACCAGGGGCTGGGAGAGAGGGAGAAGGTGTGCGCGTGTGCAGGGGGCTGGGGCCACGTCCTCGTGTGCCCACGGCTGAGGCTTCAGTGTCGCAGAGGGAGAACGAACTTGTAACTTTCAAAAACAAGAGTGCTCCCCAAAACCAAACAACCCCCCCATACACACACACACAGAAGACCCAGACACCAACCATGAGAGCACATGAGACCAGTTGTAAATATGCCAACTTGACGTGCGGGCTCTCTGCTTTCTGTGAAAGAGGAGACCTTCCAAGTTTCCTTTGGCAGGACTGGTGACACACGGAACCCAGTGCAGAGTCACGGCAGACACACAGGGCTCTTGCTGCATTATTCAGTCTTTATGACACCCCACGGCATAGGTAGCACCATCGCCCCCATTTTACAGAGTGGTAAACCAAGGCACAGAGCGGTTAGGGGACTTGCTCAGGTCCCACAGCTGGAGCTGGAACCCAGGCCATCTGGCTCCCAAGTCCATGCTCTCAACCCAACCTGGGGCAGGGTCTTATGGGGAGACCCCCAGCCACAGGGCTCCATGGAAAAACTGAGGCCAAGTCTGGACCATCTCCTCCTGCCTCCCTCTCCTCCTGCCTGTCAGGGAACCTCCATCCAGTCTGCACTGAGAAGAGGCAGAGAGAGGCCGGCCAGGCCTCCTGAGCACAAAGCCTCCTCGCTGACCTTCCCTTGGGACATCCCACCGCAGCCCTAACGAACCCGGCTCAGCTAATGAGGGAAGCGGCCTCTCCTGCCCAGCCTCTGCCCAATTAGACGCGGGGCCTGGCACCCCCACCTCCGGCAAGGACCCTGAGTGGGGCTGTTTGTGGCGTCTCCACTAATTAGCAGGAGCTCAGCCTCTGTCGCAGTGACCTTTCAAATGCCAGGAGCCTGCTAGTGTCCGCGTCCTGGAGAGAGGCGCAGTCTGGCACTCCCCCCTCCGCCGGCCGCCACACGCCTCCACGCTTCCACGTTCCACAGCCCAGGCGGGCAGGCCCCTCACGCTCGGCTCCCCTCGGGAGCCAGGCCCCAGCTGCTCCTCCGAGCAGAAATCTCTGTCCTGGGAGCCACCAGGACGGGCCATCCCCCAGCCCGTGCTCCTGTAATCCCGAAGGCCTCCACTCCAACCCTGAACCCAGGGCCTAGTTTGAGCCCACAGGCTCATCGTCCACCCCCAGGCATCTCGCTCCTGGGGACACAACGGTGTGCGTGTGCTGTGTGCAGCTCTCCCTCTATGTACCTCTCCCCCCACCCTCATCCCTCCGTCCCTCTGTCCTTATTCCCATCCCCCCCACACCACGTTTCCAGGCTGTGCTGGGCTGTCTGAACCGGCCTGCACCGGCCCCCAGCTGAGGGTCTGCAGTCTTTCATCTGCTCTCTCCCAGCCTGGCTCTGTTATCTGTAAAAATGAGGTGACGCTCCCTATCCCAGTGGGAGCAGAGTGAAGATCAAACGAGAAGGTCTACTGAAATCTGGGTGCACGACAGATGCTCAGTGGCTGCCAGCAGCCTCCCCCAACGGTCAACTCCCTGTGGGACACCAGGCGGAGCTGACCAACCAAGGCCCACTTTCCAAGGCAGTCAAACCTCATGAGTCCATATCAGGGCTCCCTGATTCCTTACAGTGAGCCCACCACGCCGGGAGCTCCGCTCCCCATCGTCGAGACAGCCCCCGGAGGCGGGTACTAGTATTATCATCCCCACGTACAGATGGGGAAACTGAGGCCCCGAGAGTCTGGTGACCAGCCTGAGTCGCAGAGCTGGTGAGTGGCTGAGCCACGACTTGAACCCAGGCAGTCCCTGTGACAGAGGAGGGCCCCACGTCCTTCTCACCGGCCCGGGAAGCTCCCCTGGACTGGCCTCACACACCCACATTAACCCTGGTGACAACCCCCTACGGCCACTCGGTGGTGGCGGGGAAGACTGAAGGTCCCAAGAGGAGGAGCGAGCTCGGCCCCCCTGGGGGCCGCAGAAGCAAAGTCGAGGGTCCCCGCAGCTATGCTCAGGGGGCAGAAACAGCCTCTAATGGGGGAACAGGTGATGAGGATGACACCCCATTTGTGCCTAAAGGAAGACCAGGGCACCACTCACCCATGCACACAGGCGAGCGCGCGCGCACACACACACAAACTCTGCAAAGGTTCCTACACAGCCACATGATCAGAAAGACACACACACCCCCACAGCTCCACACACCTTCGGTAGGTACAGGAATAGGGGCATAGCCCTTCAGACCACAGCCGTGCACACTCCTGCAGCGCACAGGCGAACTCCCACTGCTGCATCCCGGTGACGCACACAGCCGCGCTCTCACCAAAGACTAAATCCGTTACCCGTAAGCCTACAGACATTTACAGAGGACCTACTGCGTGCTGGGTATCAGGCCCACGACAGGGACAAGCCCAAATTCCTTCCTGTGAAGACCCCACAATCTGCTGGAGGGCCTGGCCAGCACACGGCGATGACCACGAGCCCCGGGCCGGCCGCACAGTGAAGATGCTAGAGAGAGGTCGGCGTCAGGGACCAAGCCCCTTAACCCCCTTCCCTGATCTCTAACGCTGTTCAGAGCACGATGCCACAAACACTGCTCAAGGGCCACTGAAGTCCCCCCAATCCCTCTCCTTCCTCCATATGGAACTGCTGCCAATGGTCCTTATCCCAAGAGGCCTAGGGGGGCCCCCATCACACCCAGGGATAGGGGGCAAGAGATGGAGACCCCTGGGCACCGACTTCCAGCTCAGACCTGTGCACCCCGCCCTCGTCCTCTGAAGCTTCAAGTTCTCCCTCCAACACCATGGCGGGCAGGTCAACACTAACTCCCAGAGTCAGGGAGGGAGGGTGGTGCTGGGGACCCAGGCCGGAGCCCATGGGAGAGGGACAGGGGCCTGACGCTTTGGGGACCTGAGGGCCCCTGGCACAGGTACCACGTCATCTGTTCCCACTCTGTCCCCAGCCCTGGCCTTGATTCTCAATCAGTGTTTTCTCAATGAACAAACAATAATTACCGAGCATAGCCTGCTTCTCTTTTTAAAAAAGTTTGTCACTCACCTCCTCCCTGCATTTTCCCAACAGCCCAGCGAAACAGACAGGGTAGGTGTTATCACCCCACTCTACAGATGGGGAAACTGAGGCCTGGAGAGGGATGGTGCCTCCGTTAAAGTCCACAGAGAGGGCTTGGGGCCCCAGAATAATTACCATGGTATTTATACAAAGCTGTACGGCTGCTCTCTGTTGCTACAGGGAGGCTCACGGGGGCCGTGTAAACTCAGGCCCCCAGCCTTCCTCGTGCAGGGTGGAGCCATTCCAAAAAGTCAGGAGAAGTGGAGTGTCATGAATTCACTGGCCACGGCAATGGGCTGCTCACATTGTTGAGGAGGCTGTGTGACGTGGGGAAAAGTGCAGGGAGTCTGCAGAGGAGCCTTGACTGCCTTCACGTCGCTGGGCAACCCTGGGCAAGTCACCTAACCTCTCTGGGCCACTACGGAGGTGACAGAACAGCACTGACTGCAGCAGGTTGCTATGAGAAGGATGTGTGCAGGGCTTGTGAATGGCCTCGAGTGAGACTGGGGGCTTCCTAAAGGGTCTCTGGGCCCCCGCCTGGGCTGTTCTGGTTCAGCCCAGCTGCATAAGGGTTAACGTACACCAAGCACGTACTATGGCCAAGACATCTTGGCATCGTAGACATCAACTCACTTGTGGAATCCTCATGGCATCCCTACTAAGTAGGCACTGTGGGAGTCCCACTGTACACATGGGGAAACTGAGGTGCAGAGCCAGGATCCAGCCTTCAGACTTCAGAGTCCTGCATTCTTAACCTTTAGGTTCGAGGTAGTCCATGTCTCTACACCTGACCCCTTTCCCTGAAGCATCTGGACAGAGAACCAAGTCCTCATTCAGGGACGGTGGGGGAGGGAAACTCACCATTTTTGTCTGCTCGGCGGAAAATCTGCAGAGAAGAGAGGTCGAGTCAGCCTGGGCCGAGCCGGGCAGGCGCCCTCCAGCGGTTCTGACCGGTACTGAGACCCCACTCGTCCCCCGCGGGCCTGGGGAAGCTGAGCCTCACCCCCTCCCCAGCGAGGAGACCCCGGCTGGGATCCAGGGGCGGGGAAGGGACGTTTCAGGTGGAGACCGCCCCAGCCGCCCGCGCGGAAGCAGCCACCCACTCCCTTCTGTGCCGCCAGCCTGCCCACGGCCACGCCGACACACACGCACACGCGCGTGGACACGCTCACACCCATCCACACGCTTGCGGGTGGACTTCCAGAGCTATCGGTCCACGTGGCTTCACCCACTGTCCTGTGCTCAGTCGCACACTCAGAATTGTGTCCCATGGGCGCAGCCACACGCCTTACACCATTGCACCCCTCCAAGAACCCCTGGGGAGCCCCGGTTTTCTCCAGGGAGGTTGGGTTAAGTCTGAAGGAAGGGGTCTGCTAACAGAACCTCGAGACCTGGCGAGTGGACCAGCCACGGGCAGGGCTGGATTATTTTGGGGGTGGGGGAGTGGGTGGAAGTAGGCAGCCACGGAACCAGCTGCAGATGCAAAGTTCTGGCTGCATCAGGAGGGGGTGGAGGCAGGGCACGCCCCCCCCCGCCCCCTCCAAGCCTCAGGTGAGACCAGATAACTCCTTCTCTTGTTATTTTTGGGACCAGGTAAGCCATGCTGATTGATTGAGGAGGGGGAGGGGGAGGGGGAGGGCCCCCCCATGACCACCCCATCTTTGGTCCTTGCCTTGGTGCCAAGGGAGGATGCCCCCCATCCTTCCACCAATGGGGCGGGCATCCATTATCAGGCCCCTGGGGCTGGGACAGACTGAAGCAGCAGCTCAGGGAGGGCTTCTGGAACATCACCCCCCTCCCTCAGCTGAACCCCGAGTCCAGGGCACCAGGCGGAACCCACTGTGGCTGGAGCAGAAAGGGAGGCAGTTATGGGACCACTCCAGGCCCTCCTCAAAGCCCCAGCCTGGGCGCCCCACACCCCTGCTCCTGACTGTGAGGTTCCTGAGGCCGGGGTCCCACCCTCAGGTGCCTGCTCTGGGCCCGGGGGGTTAAACAAGGGAATGACAGGACCACAGGGATGCGGCTCGAGGAGTCTGCACCAGCCTGTGAGCCCCGACGCCCGCTCATCACCCCATTTCACAGAGGAGGAAATGCAGACTCAGAGCCCACACATGGCCAGCACGAGGACTCGAAGCCCACCTCCCGACTGTCAGAGAGAATCAGGAGGGGTCGGCGCAGGCTTCCCTGCGAGGGCAGGCTTGCGTCTCCGGCCACTGTGGCCCTGGGCTTTCAGCGTGAACTCCGCTGGGGTTGAGAGGAGAGAGAGAGGGAGGGAGGGGGAGAGGGAGAGAGGGGGAGAGGGAGGGGGGTCTAGCTGTGTAAGTGTGTGTCGGGCTGTGTGTGTGTGTTTGGGGGCACTGGAACCACAAGCACTCAGAGCACAGCTCCCCTTCCCTACCCAGCCCTCTCCACCCAGAGTCAACTACGGGTTCCAGAAGAGAGGAGACCCACGGTCCCCCCACTCATAGGGCCGTGCAGTACACACACACAACACTCCCAGAAAGCCACCACACACACGTGAAGCACCCCATCCTGCGGCCACCCCCACCACAAAAGGACCCTCACTGGGACATGCACGTCCCACCACCCGTGCTCTCACTGGGGGGCGGGAACCCCAGAATGAAGAAGTCTTCCACGGGGCGGCCATCCACCCTGTAGAATCTCCCACCCGGGGGAGTGCGTGGGGGGGGGGTGAAGTGGAGCTTTGAGTCCCAGAGGGGACGGGGGGGGGGGGGGGCGGTGAGTAGAAGGAGGGTGGGAAGGGAATGGGGGACAGAGGAGCCTAGGAGTGCAGTGGGGGTGGCTGGGGGGAGCCCAGGGGGTCCGGGATCACCGAGGATGGGGGTGGTTAGGCTCCACTGAAAGGGGAGGGGAAGACAGCTGGGGAGGGGGCTTCACTTTTAAAGAGGCTGTGTCGGAGCGAAAGGGGAATACAGGGCTCAGAGTCTAAAGCCAGGACGAGAAAGCGGGCACCTCAAGCCTAAAGCCCGGGGGTGGGGGTGGGGGTTGTCTCTCAGAAAAGTAGCGATCCGGGGTGGAGAGGAAGAGGGGGCTCCGGTCTCAGGAGGGGATGAGAGTAAAGAGCGAGGCGCGGGGCTGGGGAAAAGATGACGGTTTGGCCAGCACAGAAGTAGGGGGGCAGTGGCCGGGGCGACGGGCTCCAGAGTCCCGGCTCCGGGAAGGTGGGGGTCCCGAGAAGTGAAGGGAGGTTGGTGGAAGGAGAGGTCGTCCTGGTTCGGGGACAGACCCCCGCCGGGACGTGACGGGCTGGGGGCTCGCGCTCTGGGGCGCAGAGGGGGATGGGTCGGGGTCGTCTGCGCAGGGAGGAGAGGACGCGGGTCGGGGCGGGGACCCGGGAGGGCGGCGTCGGTGTCACCCCCGAGAGAGGAGGGGACTCGGGGTCCCGGCCAGCGCGTACTCACGTCCAGGATGACGGCGGTGCCCCCGCGCGGCGAGGCGGGGCCGGGGCCGGGGTCCGCGGAAGGGGCGGCGG